TGATACACCCAGAACACATGAATATTAAGGGTATAATGAGCTAGTTCCTACTTAGGGGTTAGTGATACACCCAAAACACATGACTATTAAGGGTATAATGAGCTAGTTCCTACTTAGGGRTTAGTGGTACACTGACAACACATGAATAGGTAACCGGTTGTTTCGCTACCACACACTTTCGCTACCATGAATATTAAGGGTATAATGAGCTAGTTCCTACTTGGGAGTTAGTTAGGGGTTAGTAAGCCATGCTTAGTTACATACAACATGCAGCTGTAAAGAGTTTTCCATAGCCATTACTACATCTTGATACCACTACTAACATTATCCTTTCACATGCTTTCAGTATAGTACTGAGTTCGACCCCTTTGACCTGCGCTGTAGTACTGAGTTTGACCCCTTTGGCCTGCGCCACTGCTGTACTTTGTGGTGGTGGTTAGTGATGACAAGTTTTTGTAGTTCCTTTTGTTCGCCTAACTAACACCATTATCTTGTGTGATGAAAGTACCTTTCAAACCTTTTTCTTTCTGTATATATAATATTGAAATTCATCCTGAAGTGTGATTGAATGTGAGGCTGGATGGGCAAAAATGTATTGTTCCAGCCAATACGGCTGCAGCATGAAAATGATCTTGAAGAGGATTCTTGTAGGAGTGGTATAAAGAATGAATATGGGAAATAATAATATTAAATCATATTTACATTATAACAATAATGCATCCTAAATGAAGAATGTTTCATGAAATTAATGCTTCATGCTTTACCTTCACTCTATGATATTAGTCATTATGTATAACTGTTATGGTCTGATGCCATAAAACTTATAAGTACCTTTTTTGAAGCACACTGCATGGTTTTGGAAAACATGATGTGTAATATTTCTTGTAGAAGAGGGTCTTKGATGTCATCAATGTACGCCTTGTATGTCATGCAGGTCAAATTCTGAAAAATCMAAAATAATGGTTTTACATCAGGTTTTACAACTATTGGAGTACACCCTAATATGCTTTTTGTTTCCATGGAAACCTATAATTAGTACTAATGAGGTGGTTGGTTGGTGTGTTACCTGTAAGTGAACCCTTCTTGACGGCTGAATCTTGTGCAATTCCTCAACAATACTGTTGATCTCCTGTGGGTCAAAACTCAACCGGAGATTTTGCTGTAGGTAGCCACACTTTAGATCCTTGTCATCTGTATCAAACAGTTCCAAAAAAATGGACCCTTTCAGCATGGGCGTAGTGTTTCTCCATTCAGACCACATCATTCCCTAGAGTATCCTTTCTTTGTTTAACATTGAGAAGACACACGGATACGAATACAACTCAAGTTTGCAAATTATATAATTCTCAAGAGAATGAGATTATCAATGAATAATGAAATCATAATAAATAATAACACATGGTCTGATAGAGAAAACATTATGCTCAAGCTGAAGGGGTCTATTAACAACATGACCARCACAGCCCCTAACATCTGGAAACACTTAAGCTTTTGCTTTAGAGTAATGCACCACATGAAGTAGGCTGTGTTTGACATAAAAACCATAGTACTCCATAGCAAGGTGTGAAAATGTTATTGAAAAGCCGATAATGATGTTCAGTGACACCAATTGTAACGCAAAATGTCCRATTCCTCGCGTGCTATTTATAGAGCCTTTCACTTGTGATATATTTCTGGCTTATTACAACGCCTAACAAAAACTGCTAATTAAAATAAAACTAACTTTGGAYGAAACACATGTCATGAAGATAACTAAAATCATAATTAAATATAAAATTTCAACTACAAATTAACTTAAGTTTTAACTAAGAGCCATACCACTTCTAAACATTGGGTAAGTATTGACTGAACTGTACTTCACTGGATTCACTTCCATCTTCTTGTCAACTTGGAATTATCATCAGCCTATTTCAAATAATATTTTGTGAAGAGTATAATTATAAGAAATTGAGTTTAAATTATGACTTTGAAATGCTTCCCAAGGGCGTAAAATAATACAATTTGCTATTTGCAACAAAATTTGTCAATCAAGTAATTTCTATGTCAAAAGAATTTGTTTTAAAACACAATCATGTGCCTAAGAAGTGGCAGYATGAGATGCCTTGACTGACATCCAATAACACCTACTTTGTTGTCGCAACACCAAATTGTCTCGATGTGTAGTCTCAGAGATTATCAATACCCACCCCCTCACCCTCCCCCATGGAGGAATTTTGAATTTCAKAGGGATGGGGAGTCAGAGAAAGAACATAATTACAGTTTGTATGGAATGAAATGGGAATTTTCGGGGGTAGGGGTAGGGTCTTAAAAAATCCCTCATGTGTGAAAGGATAATTTCTGGAATGACACAATATCCATCACAATTTGAGTTGGATTGATTGGCATTGATGGTTTTGGATTTTTTAGATGACAGCCTAGTATTATTGAAAAACACCAAATGAGAAAGTTTTCATACTAAAGTTAATAGAGTCACGCAAAATTTAAGGTTTGGGTTCTAATTATAAATGTTGCTATGCCAATTCAGTTTTTAATTGAGCGTGCATGGGCTGAAATCAAAAGTTCAATATAACTGGATTGGTAAATACTTGCTTACCTTAAAATCACTAAGAAATATTTTAGCTTCAGARTTTTGTGCTACTTTGAATCCATCTTCAAAACAGCTACACAACAAACTACAAATAAAGTATAGATTTAAAAAATCAACCCTCATCAGTGTTTACGCCCCTCATTGAAGGTTTTTGTTATCTTGGTAACCAAATAAAGTATATCAGGTGYGGATGTAAGGAGGGGCTGATGGGTTTCGGCGGATGGGGTAATCTTTCATGACCAAAATATCCAGAATTCCGGTAATATCATTTCTGGAAACCATAATTATTCTGACCATATTCCATATCAGTTTTGTTGGGATCATGTGCCCCTAGACCTTCTTTGGTTTTATTTGCATASTCTGGTGTGTGAATTATCAAGKGTGTATTCACACTAGGCCGACAAAATTTGTTCAGCCCAAAATTGCTACCAAAGTTTGTGCCAACCAAAAATCTAGATTAATAATATTATATTTGTCCAAATGCAAATGCCCATCTTTTTTTTTTTTCTTTAAAAAACCTATGAAAAATAAGTTATAAAAACAGTATGTTTTGATGCTTGTCYCAGATTTGGAGGCCTCTAGACAACAGCTTTAAATTTAATTTTTTTATTTGGTTGACTGGGATTTTTCCCAGCAGGATGATGGCAGAATTTTTAGTTAAACAAACAAAAATTGGTCTAGTATATTGTCTATTGCTGAATTTGTATGGCCCCCATTTCTCAGATTCCAGGATTTGTCCCTACTAAGTAAGCTTTCAATAACTGGGCTAATATTTCCTTTACTTACCAAACAAATGACTTCAAGATCTGAAATATTGAATCCTTGTCCAGGGATTGCTTGAATGTGTTGGAATCCTTAATTTGTAATGTCT